GACTCAGTTATGCAAAAAACAGCCATGTGCGTAAAAGTACCAACAGAGTTATAAGCATTTTTCTGTCGATAGTTGCACTTGGGTTATGTTTTGTTTTTCTGGTTATTTTAAAATTGAACAATATTTATATAAGTATTGTTTATTTTTTATAATTATTCTATTTTTAATAATAAAATGCTTATTACTCTGTTGGTACTTTTCAGACATGGCTGTTTTTTTGCATAACTGGGTCCAATTGATAAATGAACCTATTAAAACACTTAACTTATACTCACATATCGGACTCTAAGAAAATTCTATGTCATTTGCCACAATGATGGATTTAGTTGACACAATCAGTCGGTATTACATAAAACATTACTATGATGTCGCTGGATAATGATGCCAGTAGAAGAAACTAAACGCCATGTATACTTTATATCGCATTATTTTAGTATTAAAATGAGCGCTGACCAAGTAAAGAGCAATTTTATGAAGCGACAATTGGAGCACTTTAATTCACACGTTTTTGCTTTCTTTAATAGATCGGTGATATTCGTTATACACCTAGACCTGCCATTGGAATGTAGATATAAGTTTTTAATCTAAAGCATTTAAATATTGTAATATCTAATCTGTACAAGAGGTAAACATAGACAAAATAAGTTTCAAAAATGGGGGTCATGCTAAACCTTTTCTATTATTTATTAATGAGTTTGTTTGTTTGCTTACCCCTCTTATGTAGTGATGACGTCACTATACAGGTACATTACAAGAAGTTGCCATGCCCATTAGGGAGACGTTAAAAAGGGCTGAATACAAGTGTACCAATATAAAGTAGGTACATTCTCTTTCTCAAGAAGGAAATACTAAAAAACTTTATTTAATTTAACAACTCATGTTGGCAAATAGGTTACCGACAATTAAACTAATGGTTATACATATGTGATAAGGTCAACAAAAGTTTCGGACAGGTTTGCCAAGGTTAGGTCATCAGATCATTTCTAGATATATAATTTAATATCATCTTTTGTTTAGTTGTTTTGTTTTAAATATGATATTTGGAATGATCAATTAATTTGTAAGTCAAAGATCAATTTTAAAGGTTATTGTAGATTCTATTATTTATTTATTTTATAGAGTCGTCTTATTTAAAACTATCCAAATTCCTGTTTCCTAGTCAGACATAAAATTAAAAAAAATGCAATAATTAGACGATTGTGTCAAAAATATTTTGACAGATAACAACATACTTTACCGATTGTAATTAAAAAAACCAATTACCTAAATCTAGAAATACATTTCAAGACATTTCACGGCCTCTGAACTTAGTATTGCTCAAGCATTCGTATTCCATGACCAACCTTGCCTTTTCTATTGAGATCGCCAACACATCATTTAATCATTGTAATCAATCAAAATCATCTTTGTATGTTTTTTTCGCCCTACATGAAGGCTTTAATTTCATAACCCTAAGATTAATTATAGAAAATGGGCACTTGAAATTTAGCAGGTCATGGTTTTACTTTAAGATATTCGTTTAGTAATTTGTAAAAGAGCGATTTGATTTATATTGTAATATATAACGTGCTGTTATATCAGGTGACTTCCTTCAGAGGTAAATAGGTAATTGCCGTCACAGTACTTGTGATCAGACGTCAAAACTAAAAAAACATTAATAGAATATTTACCTACTACATTTTAAATATGATTATATTTTAACGATGGAGAAAAAATTTAAGGTATTTTGTTCAAATATACCTTTATAACCGTTGAATTGAGGAACGAGGAATCTACTAACGGCCAACCACCTTTTTTTTAACGTTGGGAAATGCATGAGGCATGAGGTATGGGACTCAGCGGCAAAGCCAGTACTATCCACTAAAACCCTCTCTTAATGTCTTAATGGGGCGTCACAGGATCGCTTACGCACTCAACCACGACGCCCCGACGGCAGGTCTACCGAAGCAGACCACAACCACCATGGGTCCTCCACAGTCCACTTTGCTATATGAGAAGTACCAGAAGCACCGGCCAACCACCTTATACATTATAAAACATATCTTTAACTTAATTATTACAATATAATAATTTAAATTGTAATACTAAAATTGACGACACGTTTATAGTGACCCTGTAGTGCCAGCGGTCGCGGGTCCAAGTCCCTCTGGAGGCATTTATTTGTGTGATGAGCACGAATGTTTGTACTCAGTCATTATATTTATTAACAATATGTATGTATTTAAAGTTAATGTCCCAACATATTTATATATATTTTATTTATGAGTATATACACTATACAGTCATTAAAATGACCTTTTAAACCCTAAATGACGATATCTCATTGATAGTTTAGACTAAGTATCAGTCTAGGATGTTACGCAGATTGACCGAGTTTCCTGCATCCTGTGACACTGACGCAAACGCTATTGTATTTCTGTTACACTCAATATAAATTGGCTTTACGTAAAGCAGCTAGTTTTGTATTACAAGCTCCATTTGTTTTAAGTAACTAGATTGGTTTTAAAAATTACGAAATTTGTAGCGATATTTACAACTTTTTTTTCTTAATGATTAGAAATACGTAGAAAGTGGGTATGTAAAAATAAGTACTTGTATCTATTAGTACTTGTATGTTTTAGTAAACTTGTTATAGTTGCTTCCAAGGTTAGTATCTACAAACAAACATCTAAACCGATTTTTTAATGATTCTTTGGTATAGAACTAATATTCAAATTAGTTTATTAGTTTAATAGGGGCATTCATTTGTGTGATGAGCACGAATATATGTACACTAGTCATGGGTGCTTATATTTATAATATGTATGTATTTAAAGTTATATATGTGTAGTGTGTCTACTATCTAGTATCCATAATACAAGCCTCGTAGCTTACCATGGAATTAGATGGTGCTGTGTGTTAATGTCCCAACATATTTATTCATATACAGTGTAGATATTATTATCACTCGTCGCAGCTTTTTTGTAATTAAATTGCTTACATTTTTCCTAAAATTGGATTATTTTTATAAATGCAAAAGTTTGTATGTATGTACGCGCTGAAACGACTGCACAGATTTGGATAACATTTTGTATATAGGTAGAGTATGGCAGTAAGGTCCGGGGCGCCGTAGTAGTTATGCGCAAGCGATCCTGCGGCGTTCCATAAGGCGCTTTACTTATGATGTAATATTATAAATAAAATAGGCACCTAAATTTGCACCCGAGCAAAACTGGTTAAAGTCGCTAGTCCATACTAATATTATAAATGTGAACGTAACTCTGTCTTTTACTTTCGCTTAAACCGCTGAACAGATTTCGATAGAATTTGGCAAGGACATAGATTGCATCCTGGGACCGGATATACGATACTGAAACCGCGGACAATAACTTTTATATACAACTAGCGACTCACCTTCGCTCCGGTCGGATTCGTCCCTATTTACATTTTAAGGTTTAGCACAGAGATGAGATATTTTCCTGCAATAAAAAGTATCAAACGTCAAAATCTGTTCAGAGGTTTTTGCGTGATGCGTTCACACATAGACAGACAGACAGATAAAAAATCTAAAAAGTATAGATTCGGCCTCTGTATCGATAATAATGTCTATTTCAATAAGATTGTCCAAAAAATGTTTAATGTTTAATTCGGCTTAGTTAGAATTTTATTATATGTATAGATTATAAATATCGCTTCTATACTAAACTAAAGTGTACTTACAGCCTAGTTAAGTAAAATCCAATAAGAATTTATGTATCCTCCGCTCGAGAAATCTAAATCTTGCTTATTATGCCCGGAAAAAAAATTCGTAACGGACTAGTTGCGTGAACGAGTTATTCATGTGGATCTCCCGGAGCTACTACGTGTTAAGCGCACGCAATTTTCCCAATTTATGCATTAAATTTCATTAAAATAAAGGCAAATTTTGTTTGAATGTACAAAATATAATAATTAGATATAATGATCGTGTTATGATATTTATTGATTTGTTTGGAAATGTTTGTTTGAATTAAAATTAATATATTATATTTCATTTATAATATACGATGCATTTATACTGTTACATGACAAACAGACAGACAGACAAAAATTCTAAAAACTATAGATTCAGCCTCTGTATCGATAATAATGTTTATTTCAATAAGATTTTTCAAAAATATTTAATGTACAGATTCGGCTTAGTTACAATTTTATTATATGTATAGATAATAAATACATTATTCGAGATCCTTGATATGGATAATTGATCTACTTTAAAAAGGAAGAAGTACTTAATTCCGGTGCATGTTTTTAATCTGTATTTTTTAATCAATAAATCATATTTCATTGGTTCCAAAAATTTTTTGAAGTAACACTCGTCTGGTTAAAAAGTATAATTATTATTTAATTCATTTATTTATAAAGGGATTGTATGAAAATGGTTTTAGAACGGCCTTGATACAATTACTTGAAAATTGCTACAACAATTTTCTACGCCGTTTCCTATTTAATAGCAATTATTTCAATACGATTGAATATAAAACAGTATCGATAAACACTTTGTATATAATAAGTGAAAATTGATAATCGAGTACATAGTTTGAAATAAAGTTGCTTTTATGGAACATATTGATTTTTTTTTTTAAATTATTATAACCTGAGTCCTAATATAAGATATAGTTTAATAAAAAAATACACTTCTCAATTTCTGGCTATTATGGAGAATGTTTTATCAGTAAAACCCATTGACTATAACATAGTCCGACCCAAGACTTATGAGATATTCTTACATAAAACATTTTTAAATAATAATAAAGATCTTTATTCTACACTCAAAAGTAAGAAATATATACATGAAAGTTTCATAATGTACAAGACCGCCTTATCGCTAAAACAGTCTTCATGGAAACTTAACATGTAGAAAATAGCAGACTAAGAATTAAGAGGAAAGAAGTATTGTATATAATAAAAAAATATGTAACTATTAATATATACAAAAAAGGTAAATAGGTAAATATTAAAAAAAAAACATATTTATTTACCTTGCATCCCTCACACGTAAATGCACCGAAGTGAAAGCCGGCCGCCGGCTCTCCGCACACTTTGCACTTTTGATTCATCTGCAATTAACAAAACAAATAAGTAAATACAAACGTAAATTATAAACATAAATTATGATAAAGTGTATTTCAATGGGTAAAATTTCCACTAATAAGAGTTTAAAAACCCGGATCATTTTTGACTATCAAACAGGGCGTTGCCAATATAATATATAATATACTAGCGACATCTCTAAGTTTAAATGGTTAAGGAGGGCATAAAAAACAAACGTCCACAGAAAAATAAACTATTTTTTGTATTAGAAACCTTCGCACGCGTATACAGAATAACTCGACAGAGTTTCATAACAATTGGATCCATGGTTCAGATATATATAGAGGACAAACATACAAACATTTTTTTTTATATAAAAGAAGATAGAAGCTAGAAATAATACAAGATGTGCATTTATAATTTCTTACCCTCGCTTAATGAAAGACGGAATAAAATAATGAATTTTTCTACAATATTTCTATTAGATGGTGCACAAAGTAAGCAATATGCTCTTATCGTAGCTGTTATATCGAATCCGTCTCAAACCCAATTCGATGTTAATACGCCGTGACGAGCGCTTGCAATCAGTCATTTAGCTGTTAATTTTAAGGATCGTGGTGCATGTTATTGAATGCATACGATAACTAGAAAAACGATAATTATGTTTCGATTTAAACGGAGTGAGATGCATTTTTTTTAAAGAAGATTTAGTTTTTTTCTGCTATTTTTGTAAATTTTTTGACTTTTTTTTGTACAAGAGGTACTCATTTTTTTTTGGTTGGTGTGTTAAGTGATATTTGCAAAATGTGAAACATTTTTTATATTTTTTTCTTAATAAATATAGGCACCTCCCATATATTTAAGTAATTAATGATTGTCGTTGACACTGAAATTGAAAAGATATAATATTGAAATCGATCTCAAAATCGCCAACCATTAATTATACATCGCTGTGTGGATCAATAAAGATAGAAAATAAGTTATAAGTAACTCATTCTACTTTATTATTACTACGAGCGTAATTGGTTAATTGGCGAGAACATACTAGAGTAAAGTAGAAAAAAAAACCATTTACCTCCTTTTTTTTTTAAAGTCGGTCATAAATAATGAACGTTTTTTCTTCCCGAAATATTAGCGCTCCATCTCGTGCTTTAATTAGTCTAATAAAAAAAATATTTGGTCTAAGAAGTTTGAAGAATTGTCGTCTGCTTTCTTTTACATGTGTCGATAAAAAATATCTGTATAACAATATCTATGATTGTTTTATTTAAAGTCAAATATGTTTATATTTTTATTAATTCTAGTTTCTAAGAATAAATGAAGACCTTAAGCAATATCAGCCTTTATTTTCAAGGCTTTAATATTTATATTTCTTCATTTAAAGGCAAAAGCTTTTACCATCTTTAGAACAATGGGTTTTAGATATATAAGTAGAATACGTATAGATCAAGGAACAGGTGCATGAAGATGTTCCTGCTACGATGCACATTTTCAAATGCATATGATACTCGTATTTTTTATGACCTTTTATTATTAAATATTCTTTTTATTGAAAACCCAATTGTCATAACCTATAAAGTCAAGCAACTTAAACAGCGGCAGGCATTGGATGGATGACCGTGGGGTTAGACGTTCTGAATTCTAATATGAACTAGTGACTGACCCTCGCTCCGCTTGGGTTCGTCTCTAGATACGTTTTAACGTATAGTATAGATATCTCAGTGATGAGATATTTTCCCGCCATGAAAATTATCCTATACGTTGACCCGATTTAACTATAATCATCATAACCAAATTTAATCAAAATCTGTTCAGTGGTTTTCTCCTGATGCATTTCTAGACAGACAGATAGACAGACAAAATACTAAAAACTATAGATTCAGTCTCTGAATCCATAATAATAACTATTTCAATAAGATTTTCTAAAAAAGTATTTAATGTACAGATTCGGCTTAGTTACAATTTTATTATATGTATAGGTAGATATAGACAACTGTCAATAATAATTGCTACTCGTTTTGTTTTTTCTAAAGAGTGGAGTACAGACATTTGCTTCCTACATACTTTATATCTATAGTTACCCACTGACTTTTTAACTTTTAAATTATAACTATTAACTTTAAAACTAACATATTTATTTTCATTATAACCTTACTATACCTAAAAAAGGTACAAAGTTCAAAAAGACAGTTTCGCGATACAAAATCTCCAGCGTTGTAAATACGCATCCGGCGGGTACTTCAAGTAAATCACCCTACAGGGGGTCCTCCACGCTTATCGCTCATCACGCCGGCTCTAAATTAGATTGAACAAGATCCCACCTATAGCCTTATTACAATAGCAACAGAGCTCAAAATATACTGGTAATTTATACACTATAGTATGTCCCAATAATTTGTCGGTTTTATGATATCACCTGCTATATTTTAATATTAAAGCTCGTTAAAACGTGTGCGTTATGGAATCGCGATTTTCGTTGTCGGTTACTTGAGAAGTTTAAGTCGTGTTGATATAGTTTGGTCATATAATATTTGATTTAAAATTAAGTTCGAGTTTTTCCTCAAATATATTATACCTATATATGAAAAAAGTCAACTCTACTTTGGTTGAGTTTTCGGTGAGGACGTAGAGTCATTTTAAAAGTACCCCTAAAAATGTTCTATATGCAGGATTTTGATGAAATACCTATCTTTATATTTTATTCTTTTCGCTTTATCATATTATAGAATACTTTAACAAATTTTCACTGTCTATAATAGTCAAATATCAATAGTCCTGTAATTTAGTTAGCTTTTGAAAGTTATATAGAGTCACTATTAAACAAATTTTTGTTAATAAAAAAAAATACCAGCAAACCTCCATACTGTTCACTCAATTATTATTTCATACACAACAGATGATCTGACATCATGTTTTTGATTTAAACACACAAACATTTATCATTACTATAGAGCTATTTAGTCGAGTGCCGTCAATTTTGACGTTTCCGTAAGATTAATTTAAAAACCTTCACACCTTTATCAATTTGGTCGATACCGACACCTGGATATATTACAAAACAACGCTTTCAATCCTCACGTCAACCAAATATTAAGTAATTAATATGGTAATTGCATGTCTAGATCGCATTCGAGATAAATTATAAGTTGTTGACGGCCCGTTCTTTTGCCAAATCGGTCCATGTCATAAAATTTTGGTATATACGGCCCAATGGGCTTTGGGAGGTGTCAAATGAATTTGTACTCTACGTTTTTTTGGGTAGAGCTCAAATTGGATTGTGGCTTGTTAAATTTGAGATGCGTAAGTTCAAAACACGTAAGGGCATCTGACAAATTAATTAAATGATACTGTAAGGGAATCGAACTGTTACATCGGGTTACTCGCTCGAATACACTGGAGTACTGATCGGGTGTGTTTTTTGAATTTTGGAGTGCGATGACCGCGATTTCTTTTTAAGCAAAAATTCTTAAATTAATATAATCTATATTTTATGGAAATTATCTTGTTAAATATTTTTAATCTGTAACGGGGCGGAGATTGGAGATAGGGCTTTGGTTTCAGTTTCAGTTCTTTGCATTTAGTTCATTATTTTCGCTTGGATTTTCATGTACTAATTGTAACTTGACGTATCTAAAGATTATCTAAAATGAACTAATTTGTTTAACAACTAAAACGATATTCTTGTAAATTTTATATTATACATAAGTTGTTAGTTTTATTAGATTCTAACAAGATATCATTAAAGCGGTTTCATAAGTATTCGAATTTACAATTTCAAATAAACATAATACAATAGTAATAAAGGTGTTTAGGATAGGTTAAATAGATATTCATGTTTGAGGTTTGTCCGCGAGTTTGCTCGCGTATTTTATTTATGTACATATAATCACTATGCTGTAAAGGGAATCTTATATAGCTTATAACCTTTCTTAGTAAATAAGCTATAAAACGCATCAAGATTTTTTTAAATTAGACCAATACTTCCAGAGATAAGCTCGTACAAACAAACAAAAAACGAACTACTTTATATATTACTATAGAATATAGATCCATCAGTAAAATCGGTTCAAACGAACAGGTCATCGCTATTAGAGTAGTACTGTTGGTCTGGACAAATCAGTGTATGTTCGAGTTGATGCGAGCGTGTGAAGCGGGCCGGCCTGTCATTTGCCGCGACTATTATGTCTGTGCCGACTCCGTGGGAAAAGGGGATCTATGGGAATAGCATGGCTTCGTAGAAATCGGGAAGATGCTGCTAAGAATCGACACTTGCTGTGATAAGTCTTAAAATGGTATTTTTTAGCAATTTTGTCTTGTAAAGTAAACTTCTACAGAAAAGTCGGTAAATTAGGCTGGTGTTCACCCACGAATTTAACTGTCGCGATTACGATTAGAATTATGGAATTTTGATGACTTTAGTTATATTTGTATCAAGCTGATTAAATAGGGTATTGTGTACCATGTCTGAAGCTAGCGAAAAGCGGAAATGTGAAGATAAAATAGAAAAAAAGTTTACACTTATTGATTTCCGATAAGATTTATTTTATTCTAAATAGAATTCAAAATGACTTACATAAGAATATATTATTACTAGCGACTCACCCTCGCTTCGCTCGGGTACACCCTTAGGTTGATTTCCCATACAAACTGTCATCCCCATTTTCACACCCTTAAGGGACGATTTCCGGGATAAAACTTATTCTATATCCTTCCCAGGGTCTCGCACTATCTTCTTACCAAATTTCATCTAAATCGATCCACTAATTTCGGAGCTTATTCCGTACACACAAACAAAAAAATCTTTCCTCTTTATAATATTAGTTACGTATTCTTTATGACTTAAGAGTTATGTAAGAAGCCTATGACTTCGCAGTAACCTTAACCTACATGGTTGATGGTAAAAGCCAAAGTTACAGAGCATACAGGACGCTACATTGTTATTCTCGACAGCAAGTGTGTCACCCTCCATGAAAAGTTCCATTTCCATAGCCGCACTGTTTGAAATTTCATTAACGCAAGGGCTATG